GTGCATGCAGACGGCCGCCATGACAAACCATCGCGGGATCACGGTGTGACGCTGCATGCGGTGCACACGCAGCTTGGCCGAGGGCCTCGGGGTCTGCACCGGGGGACTGATCAGAGGTGTCGGGGGCCAGTCCTACAAGGGGTCTGCGCCACCGCTGTCAGCATTCCATCCAGACTTGCCCTTCAACATGGAAGTGCACCCGGGCCGGACAGGCAGTGAGGACATGACTGACGGAGCCCTGACCACTACAAGGCAGTTGGCACGATGCTCGAGCGGAAACCAGCTCGCCCGTACTTGAGGGCTTTGCCCCGTGGATGTTCCACGAGGGGTCGTGGGTCTGCTCATGGTCTGTCTTTCCTCACTGACCGCGTAAGGAGAGCTGTTCTAGTGAAAAACAGAGGTCAGTCCCGGCGCCTTGGACTCCGGAAGTCCACGCCTTCCCCAGCCTTCAGAGGAGGGGAGCCCGGTTCGGGGTTCTTCCTCTGTGGCTAATGATTCGGGCTGCAGTTTTAATAGGCCACTGAGCCGCCTCTCAGGGGGACCAACCATCCTGGTTTGTCCAGGACTGGGGTTTCCCAGGATGTGGGATGTTCAATGCTAAAACTGGGAAGTCTCAGGGTGACCAGGACAAGTTGGGCACCCATTCTTCCTGACCGGAGGCTACTGGGAGAGGACAGAAGCCTAATGGGTGGGGGCACTTGGGTGTGGAGGGATGAAGGGGTGGAGGGGGCCCCTGAACCCTAGCGGCCTAGTGCTCCTAGGATGCTGTCACCCTCCCAAAACGCACAGCTCTTGCTCCATGGCAGGTTGCACCTTTCGCTCATTCCTCTTTTCCCCCAGCGTTCAGCTGTCTCTCAGAACGTCGTCCCGGCTTTTCGCTCCCATGCCCAGGCCCCCTCCTTGGTTGCTTTAAAGTGCAAAACTCAGGACCAAGGCACGAGTGTGTTCTGACCTGTGCAGAGAGGAGCGTGGCTGTCTCCTCCCTTGTTCTAGACATTATGTCTTCATTAACGCAGCGTAAAACAGCGTCCCATTTCTGGTGAGCAATGTCATGCTCCACCTGGATCCGATTGAGCCTGAAATTGACCAGGTGGCCCCTTCCAAGTCCTTCTCTTGTAAATTGGTCTTAAGGCCTCGGATCATTGGAGGAACTTGTAAACTCCTGATGAAGAGAAGGGGAAGGGACCTGGGACAAGTGGGTTTGGTGGGCTGGGGCTGGTTTTGGGGTTCGAAGCCAGCCTCAGCTCCCAAAGGTCAGCTTCATTTGGAGGGAGGGGGCGGTCTTCCTCAGGTCGGGAGAAAGAGGGACGAGCCAGTTCTTGCTAGTGGATTCTGACGGCAAAGAGGACAGACAGCCTGGCTTCACCTCTGACCCCACAGAGCACACCCTGGGCAAGTGTGAGTGGAAGGTGATGGAAGGGCAGAGCCTCTGCAGAGCCCCACCCCCTCAAGGTGGCACCGCGTCCCATCCTGGCTCTGTGCACACAGCACAGCCAGCCCACCCCAGGGCACAAGTTCCCAGCACCCTCCTTGGAGCAGCTACTCACTCTCAGCCATCTTCATCGGTGCAGCCTGCGGTGGGCCTGGCTGAGGTCACACACTGAGTTTGCAATGAGCCAAGATTCACAGCCTGGCCCTCTCCATGGCCACTGCCTGTGGGCCATTGGTGCCCAGTGGGCCTGCAGACACCTGGGGAACAGGAGGGGCATGGGGAGGGTAAGATTCTTGGGCATGGACCAAGGAATAAGGTCACCTCTAGGTTTGGAATAGTGAAGAGGTGGAACTCCCAAAATTACGGGGCATGGTCTGTCCTGACCCTCCAAATAAACGCTATCTCAGTTGGGCAGGATGGGCGCACTTCTCTGAGTCATTTGGGGTCACTCCCTCCAAAGCAAGGCTTCCCCGGGCTGGATCCTGTGCCCTCCTGTGACCACAGAGGTCCCAGCCACAGATAGGAATCTAAGGACCCCACCAGGCTCTGCCTCCCTTTCCCACAGCACAGACCTGAGCCCTTGGAGGAGCAAGAAGGGAGGCAGGGCCAGCAGAGGGACAGGGGACAGCCTAGCCCAGGGGACACGCCTGGCCTTGTCCCAGGCTCCAGCTGGCCTCCACCCCCTGCTCCTGGGAGGCAGCCAGATGCCCTGAAGCAGTTCTGGTGGCCTGGAGGAGCCAGTTCTCCCAGGAGGGTGGGGATAGAGCAGGCACCTGAAGCTCCCAGGTGCCCACCCAGGACCAGCTGGTCCTACAGCAGCCTGGGCAGCACAGCCCTTCAGATGCCCACCAGCCAGTTACATCTTCTCAAGGCCCCCACGTGTACACACATGTGCATGTAGTGCATTTGTGGAAATTAATAAAAGGAACCTCAACTAAATTGGAATTGGGAGGGCCTGCAGGGGCAGCTCTCATGCCCTATCATACACATCAGTTACACCAAATGGGAAGAGACAGATACTTGCATGTTGGACAGGAAGTACAACTACTTACTACTGAAGGAAGACTTCTCTCTCACCCAGCAACAGCCAATCAGAAACACCGTAGCTCAGCCAATCAGAAATGCTGCAGCCCAGCCAATCAGAAGTGCTGCAGCCCAGCCAATCAGAAATGCCACAGCCCAGCCAATGAGGAGCCATCCCCGCCCTGATCTGTTCCTCTCCCCAATGGACTTTCCTTTAGTGCAGCCCTGCCCCCTCTCCCCCTTTTCTCTATAAAAGCAGCTCCCTCCTGTGTTCTCTGGATTTGCCTGTGGTTGGCCATAGCGTGCACGTCCCGAATTGCAATTCTTTTGATTATTCCTGAATAAACTCATTTTGAAGATAAAATAACAGGCGAATTTGTTTTTTAAGTTGACACAATGCGTATGCATATGTAATGCAGATAAGTTTATTATTACATTAGATTAATTATACAAGTCTCCTTTTTCTCTCAAATATCTTTGCATTTTTTTTTCTAAAGATTGGCACCTGACCTAACAACTGTTGCCAATCTCTTTTTTTTTTTCTGCTTTTTCTCCCCAAAGCCCTCCAGTACATAGTTGTATATTTTAGTTGTGGGTCCTTCTAGTTGTGGCATGTGGGTCACTGCCCCAGCGTGACCCGACGAGTGGCTCCATGTCCGTGCCCAGGATCCAAACCAGTGAAATCCTGGGCTGCCGAAGCAGAGCACGCAAACCCAACCACTCCGCCACGGGGCCGGCCCTACTTTGCATTTTTAAGTACTTTTTTATTTAATTTTATCAAGTCCTGAAAGCAAGAGAGTATTTTCAAATAAATTACAGCAAGGCTCAAACTAAATATTTATAAAAATTATTTTTTAGCTCTTAGCCCATCTCTTAATTAAGCAGATTTTTAAAACAACACTTAAAAAAATTTCTGGCTTGCCAGGCTAAAAATGTTTCTGTGTTTCATAGTTTTATTTTTGCCCTCCACAATAATGACATGGCATTTAGGAAGTTCTTTCTCAAGAAGAATTTCTCAAGATTTAATTTCACAACATTAATTATAACTTCAAAATTATGACTTCTCAAACAGAGGATCGTTTCCAGGAGAACCCAGATTCTAAGGCTGAACGGTCAAGACATGGGGTGAAATTCCTGGTTCACCTTTTCCAGCCATGTGAGTTGGGCATTTTCTTTGCTGCTGGAGGTTTTGTCCTCATAAAATGGAGAGGAAATGTGCAAAAATGGGGGTGGGGGCACACAGGAGAGTCCCTGACACCAGGTCACATGTGAGCTCTTTGCTGCCCTCAAGGACTGAGCCTCAGGGCACAGGACGCAGTGTGAGGAGTTGCCGGGTTCCACGGCAGAGTCAGCACCATCAGTTATTTGATATCTTGCCGAAATATTAAAGACCCAGGTCCATGAGAAAAGAGAAATGATTGGGTATAATTTTATAGTGGCTATGCCCTTCATTTAATAATAAACCATAAAATCAGTGAAATAATAAACTGTAAAATTGCATTTTAAAGTTTGACAGTTTCTGTCCTGGGGATCCACCAGGGCCAATGAGTGAGTGGATGTGGCCTCTGCCCCCAGGCCCAGGGCGAAGGAAGGGCCACTCCCTCCCTCCTGCGGCCACTCCCTGGGCCTGTCCCTCTTGGTCCTGTGCTGACTCGTCCGGGCCTCAGAGCCAGCACGAGGAGCAAGAGCGGGGATGGGGTCAGGGAGCATGAGGCCGGGAGCAGTGGTTCCTGCTCTTCAGGACGCGGCATCCTCCGGGAAAAGAGAGAAAACCGTGGGTGCTCTCCCAGAAAGTCCCAGGACACACCACATTCTCCACAGTTTGCATGGTTCTTAAACCAGCTAAGACCCGTCTGAGGGACTCTTGGAGCACAAGGAAGGGAGTAGCCACCTTAGACCCTTCTAGATGCTCGCCAAGTAGACAGCGAGGCCAGAACAGTCATAAGGGGGTTAGGGGGACTGGCCAATGCCCAGACAGGCAGACCCGGCTGAGGACGCAGGGACCTCTCAGGGCATGGGGGGCGCAGCAGGGCGAGAGGGCCTGGCACCCTCCTCAGCAGACACAAGTCCCCAGGCTAATGTCACTTTCATCTCTCAGATGGCCTGGTCAGGAAAAGGGGTGTCTCTCCCTACTCCACGTCTGTGCCGGCTCAGCGGTGGGGCAGCTACGCCCTGGACACTTCAGTGAAGTGAAGTCTCTCCCCTCTCCTGGAGAGCTCGGAACAGCCACGCCCGCCGCCTTATTTCATTTGAGTTCTGTTTTTGGTGTGGGATTCACAGGCATACAATCACCTTTGTAAGATGCCTGAGGATGGGTTGCGTGAGTCCCATGGGAACCCAGGAGCCTGGGTGGTGTGGGTTAGTGGGGAGGGGGTGCCGAGAGGGGGGGACCTGGACAGTCCACTTCATCTCTGAGCCAGGGGTCAGCCACCACTTTCTTAGGGGGCTGACTAGAGTAGGACCTGTGGTCCTATGGTCTCTGTCTCCTACTCTACTCTGCCTGCAGCTTGAAAACTGCCGGGGAGAACAGAAAGCAGACACAGACGACGGGGAAGCGATAAAAGTTTATTGGCACACGGACAGTGTGGCCCTGCCTTGCTGACTCCTGTCTGAGGCCATCAGAAACTTCCTCAGCCCAAAGGGCACCTACAGTGCCAGGTCACGGGGAGGCCCAGACAGGCGAGCAGACATGGGAACACAAGCAGGGATCAGAGCAATGCAAACGATGATGGCATCCCGTGTCTGCCTTTAGAGTAAGCAAATATCTTTGTTGCAAATACGTGTTGCTGACGAGACCTGGTGTGACAGTCACTCTTATGGTCACGGATGGGAGAGAAGGGGTGAAGATGGTCAAAGCCACAAAACTGAGAGGCGCCCTGCCGAGGGGCCTGGAGGAAGCCCCTCCATTCGCTGAGGATAGTGACCCAGAGCTCCAGGTCCCTTCCTGATGAGGGCTGGGGGACAGGCTCTCCCACCCGCCATGGCATGTGGAAGGACCTGACGGCAGAGGCTCCGGGGCGGCTGCCCGGGCTAGTAGGGCCGCACCTTCATCTCCGACACCATGTAGCTGTAATAGTTTTTCCCAGAACTCCAGGTGACACTGTTCTGGGAGCTCTGATTGGGGAGGTATTGGCCATTCAGGTTGGACGAGTGACAGTTGTCGTACCACCAGGCCCCCCGGTACACCTCAGCACAGTTGGAAGAACTCCGGTCGTTGTCTTGGTCCTTGGTGGAGAAGAACCCGTCATTGTGGGCTGTCAGGGAATCTCCTGCTCGGGGAGAAACAGGGTGGTGTCGGTGCCTGAAAAGGTCCTGCCCCGGGGCCCTGCCTCCCACTCCTCATTAGCGCTGCCCTCACTGGAGAGATGCATCACGGAGCCCCGAGGACGGAGGGCCTGCCTGGGCCTTGAGGCAGAGGGAGCAGAAGGTCCATGACCCGCTCCTGGTCCAGGACCCCCTCCACACAGAGCATTGCCTCCCTCCTCCAGCCATCACCTGTCTCCTCCAGGCTCCCCCAAGACCGTCAGACCTGTTCTGGCCCCTGAAGTCCCTCCTAGCCTGCTCCTCCTCTCTGGGCTCCGTCCCCCATCTCTGGGTCGCCCGGTGAGGACAGCACCGCCCTCATCCGGGGGCCCCCTCCATCTTCAGCCCTGGGAATGAAGCTCACCTCCGGCTCCTGCCGTTCCCGCCCGCCCCGAGCCTCAGCTTTGCCACCTGCAAAATGGGACGATGGGCCCTGCCCCGTTCCCTCCTGGAGGGCCCAAGTGAGGTCGTGCGTGTCGGGGGCACACACTCGAAGGCTCCCGTTATCAAATGCCTGGGGAGTGCCTTGCTCTCTGCAGCTCTGGGTGCGACACAGGTAAACGGGCTCCTGCTGGAGCAGCTCTCAGCGCCTTCGTTGCACGCTGGGCTTCCCAAGAGGACGCTCCGTAGGGAACGCCTCCCCAGGTCACATGGCCAGAGACGCCTCTAGGCAGAGAACATCCCACAGGGCTCCTGTTCCGTGGAACACAGTTTGGGAACAGGGCCCTAAGACCCCGTGTGGAATGACGGTCGTGTTGCAGGTGTCAGCAGGGATGAGGGTCAGTAACGTCCGGCCCCACTCACAGACACGCAGACACGGCCTTGGGAGCCGAACCTGATTATGTCACTGGTCCCCGTGCTACACAGAGATGTGGAAATTCGTGTCTGCACTTACAGACGGAGAGGCTGGGGCCCAGAGAGAGGAGGCCCCAGCCCAGGGTCACCCAGGGGAGACGGAGCCGGGACCCTGGGCAGTTCTCTCTGCCCCCCAACCCGGCTCTGAAGCCCAGGCCACTCTGCCCGGTGCGGACTCTCACCTGCGTTGCCCCCGACGAAGGCTCCCAGGACCAGCTTGTACTTGTCTGCCTCGTCCGCCAGCTTGAATGACCCGTACTTGGCAAACTGGCGGTTGCCCTGGAAGTCCAGGAGGTCGACCCGGAGCTCACTGGTTCCTGGGGGGAAAGGCTTTCAGGTCCCAGCAGAAGGGACCCTCTGGCTCCAGGCATGGCAAGGGGGAGTTTGGGTGGGTTTTTAGGGGAAGTCTGAGCTTGGCCTCCAAGGGGAAGTTTCCTCAAGTCCATATAGCAAGTCCTTGATTGTGTTAGGGACTGTGGAACCCCGCTGCCCACGGCCCTCGGCTGCCCCCGGGCTCCCCGCTCGCGTTCATCTGATGGAGCGTGGCGGTGTCTGCCTCAGCACAGCCGTCCTCCTGGAGTGGGCCGTGAAGTCATGCACGGCCCAGGGTGGGGACTGCTTTAGTCTTTCCTTCGTCGGGGGAGGAGCGGTGCCCGCTAGAGTAGCTGTCTTAGGAGAGGGGCATGTGATCCTCGGGAAGGAGGAAGGAGGGGCGATTTTGCCGTCTCCCCAGGATCAACGACCAGCTGACACTCTGGGCAGGTGAGCCAGAAAGTAAAGATGCCGTCCTCATTCCAGACCCCTGCAGAGTCAGCCTGCTTGGGGGCTGACAGAGGACCAGGGCGCAGGCGGGGCTCTCTTCCCCTGAGGCAGCAGTTTTAGGGGAGGAGAAGTAGTGGGAGGTGGAATTAGGGCTGGGGGTGGGGCCCAAACCCCGAGGGGCTCCCTGTCCCTCCTGTCTGGGGTTCTAAGCTGACAGGAGCCCATGGGCGCAAGAAGTCTTCTCTCCAAGGTTCATAACGTTCCCCAACCCTAATGTTCGGAGAGATGGAGGCAGGGCACGTGCGTCCTAGGCTGGCACAGTAATACCTCCTGCTCTCGGAGTTAACCCCGTGGGTCAAGGAGGAGCAGGGTCTTCTGTCCCAAATGGCCCAAGTCTAAGGTCAGAGGCATGTGGATTTCAGAACCCCGAGACCACGAAAGCCCCCGGCGCGGGCCCTACCCTGGGCGGTCAGGGCGTGGATGTTGTCGTTCCCCAGCCAGAACTCTCCCAGCTGACTGCCAAAGCCCCGCTTATACTCGGCCCAGTCCCGAAAGAAGTCCACGGAGCCGTCGCTCCTTCGCTGGAAGACCTGTGGAGGACGACAGGGCCCGGGAGACCAGGGCAGCCCCTGGGGACCTCGGCCACACATGGGAGCAACATTTGTAGTTCACAGAGCATCCTGGGCCCAGACCTCAGGGCCTGTCAGGAGGGTGCCCACATGTGACCAAGGAGGAAATGCAGGCTCAGAGAAGGTAGGTGACAAGCTCAAAGCCACACAGCTAGAGAGTAGCGGGCTTCCTCCTGGCCTCACCCCGGGGCCTGGACTCCCTCCCACATGGGTTCATCACCCACCTGCATTTCCCGTTCTCCCCATCCTCAGTGAAAGGAAAGGGCCAGCCCGGGGCTGCAGGGACACACATTTTCATGAAGGCCACAGAGAGAGTTCTCCGCCAGGCGTAGAACCCGGTCTGTGAGAGTCCCAGGCACTGCCCCCTCTGCCCAAGGGCCACGCTGCGTCTCGGAGATCCTGACACTCACCGTCCACCCCCCGCCATCCGTGTCCATGTCGCACAGCACAGTCAGGGGCCGGCAGTCACGCAGGTAGATGGTGTGCCAGCCGCTGAGAGTCTGGCCACTGGTGAGCAGCTCCTTGCAGTTCCAAGGTCCTGGGGACGGAACCCTGGAAATGGATTCCGGGACAGGGAGCCCTGGGCAGGGCGAGCGCAGGGGAGGGGCAGGAGGGAGAAGCAGGCACAGGGGGCATCCACATGGGTGGAGGGGGACTCCGGGGCCCGGGGCAGAGGTGCGGCCCTCCAAGGCCACCCAGTTGTGACGGCCAAACCCGGTCCCCCTGCCATCCCCACCTCCCGGGATGCCCCCACCTTAGTCCCCAGGCACCTGGCCTTTGAGGTTGATTCTAACATTTTCAGGGCATGAAACTAGGAATGTCATCCCTGATCCTTCTGCAGGCAGGTGACAGGTGGCCAGGCTGACTGCTGGCCTAGGTAGTTGGCTAATGGAGAAGCACAGGACAGGTGGAGCCTCTGGTCTGCCAGATGGGTGGGGACCAGGCTGGGGGCCACAGGCCTGGCTGGGGTGGTGGTCGGGCCCTCACCCGCCTGTTTGACAGTTCTCCGGTTCCCAAGGCTCTCCTGAAGAGGGGACAGACGGACAAACAGGCTTGAGAGGTGGGAAGTCCAACCCCTGGTCCCCCAACACAGAGCAGAAAATAGAGGCACATTCTAGCTCTTTCCGCAGTGGCAATGGCTACCCATTGGAAAAGCCACACTGGCCCTGGTTACTTGGGGTGGCCCTTCCTGTGCTCCTGGGGGAAACTGGGTCACTAAGTTTTTATTAAACGTCCACTTCCTCCAGATGCTCCATCCCGAAGAGAGGGGCCTCGTCTGAGGGGGCCAGAACAGCCTGTCTCTGCAGGTAGACATGGGATTGGGGGGGGCCGCTATTTGGGGTCTGAGCATCATACGGGCTTCTGACCACGGTGGACCTACAATGGGAGAGGAATGAGGGCCGCCAGACCAGGAGCATGGCGCAGGGGACAGCACCTGGCCCCTTAACAAGTGTCAGTCCAGCCAGTACTGCAGCGAGACCATGGTGTGAACGTGGCTGCAGGCAGGGGTGGCGTGGAGTGGAGGAGGACACTGCATTAAATTGCCCCCGGGACCAGTTGCCTCCCACCCCGGGGAGGGAACTGCCAGGACGGGCAGTCTCAATGCTTTTCCACGCCTTCTGGAAGAGCCAAATCTCAAAGCAGGCTCTCACCTGGGCTTGAGTCCGGTTAGAGATGGGGCGGCAGGTCTGTGCCCCAACCCCACCGGCCTCCGGCCCCCATCCAGGTGTGGTGTGAGAACCACGAGCCCGCGTCAGACACCATCACGTGGGAAGCTGGGTTCCACAGGAGACACATCAGTGTCCACAAGTAGCACAGGCCCAGAAAACACCTGTTGCAAGGCCTGTACCTGCAGGGGAGGAAACATCAACTTCCCTCGACCCGTGTTCTGAGCTGAGGCTCCTGCACCATCAGGTGGATTAACGAGAGAGAAACAAAGGGAAGTTTATTAACACGTCTACCTCGTGGACACAAGGGGGCTGCCAAGGAGATGAGTGACTCCCCGAGGAGGCTCAGAATTTGGGACTAAAGACCATCGTCATGGGGGAAGAGGGCGCACAGCCTCATAGGGGAGGAGACTTGGCCTTGGAAGGACAGACGGGACGTACGACAGTTGGTGACAGTGTGTCTGGGTGCGGTGTTGACTTCCAGTCTCTTCTGGGATGAGTTGGTCCTCCTGGTTCACGAAACCCTTGGGGAAGGGAGGACCCCCAAGGCCCGTTTGGAGGGTCCGTCTTTAGGCAGATGAGCGCGATCAGAGGCGGCCTGCCCTGCGTCTGCCATTTTCCAAGCGTCCTGGCTCAAAACAGCCAACGTGCCGGAGCGGCAGATCTTGGGGTGCGTGTTCTGCTGCCCTCAGCCTGAGCTTCTCACGACCCGGGAGGGGCCGCACCCAGCACGGGGCGAACTTGCTGGGAGAGGCGTGTGTGGAACCCGGGGATGTGGCCTCTCTCGTGGGCCTTCTTTCAAAGTTGGGGGCAGGACAAATGCATGGTGAGACCCCTCGGAGCTGAGGCTGGGAGCCACCACGTGCTCCCGGCTGCCCTGGTCCTTAGCAGTCTGGACGATGCGAGCGGGGACTGCCTCCCCCAGTGGCTGTGAGCTTCCCACCAAGTGTGGACAGGTCGAGAGACTGAACCTCACGGTCTTACTAGCTTAGCACAAAGAAGTCTGCATCAGTTTCATGTTTTGAGCATGGGCAATATTTACGAGAATTTGGCCTATGGACCTGATAATCCAGTTAAAAACGTGAACTTGAGTAGTGGAAGGAGTTAGTGATTTTATGTGGACATCTTGCTGTGTTTATGTCACTGCAGGCCCTCTAGGGCCAGTTCAGCTGATCCCATCTGATCAACAGAATCCTTAAGATGGTTTTCAGGAACTGAGACCCCTTGTCCAGTTCAGGCTGGTTGAGACCACCAGCCCATCAGCTGGGCCTGCGCAGATGCCCCATAAGTGAACTTTTCGATGTCAAAGGTCTGAAAACTCAACCCCCAGATCGTGTCAAGGCCGCCACTGTGTGAACACACCTCCTTTGAGGAGGCGTGGAGTCGGACGGAGCCGGCACAGACCGTCAGTCACCTCCCCTCTCCTCGCCTCCGATCGCCTGTCCCCGTCCTTCAGACCCCCCACTCTCCACCCCACGGATGGAGCCCCCGGCCCTGGATCGGGGAGACGGATCCGAGGGCACATGCCCGTCTCCTTGCAGATCCATCTAGCAATAAAGCTGATTTATTTTCCCAAAAGCTGAGCCATAATCATTGGCTTTTTTAATGCACGTTGGGCAAGAGAATCCCAGTTTTGTGCAGTAACATTTATAGTTTTGGAGCAGTTCAGAGACCCCTGGGTTCATCACAGTTACATGTTTACAATATAAGATTTCTAAAATTTACCTTATACTCAGAAGCTTTCTTAAAGTAGACAAGTGAAATGCTGAAATACAAATTTGAGTATATATAAATGCAATTAAAATGTTTAAAGCTGTTGAATTAACTAATCAGTGAATGGACCCAGGAGTATTCATAGGCCCCTTAAAGAGAGTCACTAAATTTCCCTATGACGTATAGAATAAGGTTTATGCACCAAACTTAAAAGCTCAAGGAAGCACTGGACTTCTCAGGTTGTAATCTTAATAAATGAACAAATTAAATTTGAATCAATTTAAAATATGGTCACACACTGACTAATATTCTATGTGCAAGAAACTAAATACAACTTAGGGATAAAATGCTGCAGAGGAAAAAGAAAAATTCAGGGACCATTCACGGCTGTGCCTTTGAGGGCATTGTTTGTTATGGATGGGAACTGAGGCCCAGAGAAGGAAGGAGGCTGCCTGGGGGCCACACGGCCTGCTAGTGATGAGCAGGATTAGAACTCAGCTCCCTCAAGGTGCAGGGGATGCTCGTGCGTCCACCTCCTGCCTCCCTTCCAGCCCCGCCTTGCTCTGTCCCTGCTCTCAGGCACCTGCTCTCTGACTCCTGACACAGGTCTCCGCCCCCCGTGAGGAGCTTAGACACTGCTTGGGCTCCTGGTCCAGTGCTCCTTTCACCGCACAACCCTCATCCGTTTACCCCTGCACAGGAGTCAGACATTCCCAACTGCCCTCGGGAGGTTCCCACTGGAGCTGGCAGGTCACTCACGCGGCAAGTGAAGGTTCGACTCAGGGACAAGGATCATAAATTAAAGTCCTGTCATTGGCTGCTTTGCCCTTGCCCTGGATCTCTGCTCCAGAATCTCAGACTTCTCTGACTCTTGGCCCTCTAGAACCGTCCTCTGGGCCAGTACGCAGGGGACTTGGCTTCTGGTTTATTGGCCTCACAAGCAAGAGAGAAGAGGGATGTTTAATAATCATCTATGATGTGCCACCACTGGGCTGGGCCCTGTGACACAGTGGGAAACAGCAGACAGGTCCCTGCATTCTCGGAACCTGTTTCATGGAGGGAAGAGAGAAAATAAGCAAGTGACACAAAGATTTAATAAGAATGTGATACGATACAGTATAATTTGAGAAAGGAATGTGCGCTACAGAGACTATATAAACAGAGTGCAGGGTTCACGGTTAATCAGATGGAAACAAAGCTTGAGATCTCTGCGACTTCACGCATCATAGTCATGAGAGTCCAACGTGGGTGCTCCGGGCCGGCGCCTCTCCTCTCAGCAGGGACACCAGACCCACACCCGCTCCAGCATGTGGCTGCCACCCTCCACACACGGCTCCTCTCCTTTCGGTCGTCTTCATTCCAGGCAGCCTGAGTGGAATAGAGCATAGAGGCTGCTGCAAGGGCAGCGGCGGGCCTGGAGGGCCTGTGCCTCCCGCCCTTTCACCCATTTTCCTTTGGCCAGCCCTCTACCCAAGCCCTGCCTGACCCCCAGGGACACTGAGGGGGGAGGCAGCCTGGCGTGTGACCCTGGGAAGAGAAACGGGTGTTGCAAAACACACAGGACAATGGGCGGAAGATATTCAGAGTGCATTTTTCAAGGTGACTGTTTGTGTGGTGTATCTTTTTCCACTCATCAACTTTCATCCTTGTGGAGGAGGTCACTGAGAGGTCGCAACCCTGGCTGATCTGTGAGCTGGACCCAGGTAATCAGATTCTCCTCACCCTAGTCCTTGGAATGGACACTCTGCCTACTGTTCCCACAGTGGGAGCAGTCTCAAGGATGTGGCCTTGAGAGTAAGGTGTTGAGGCCATCTGGACAGTAGACATGACTGAATCCAGGTAAGGTTCTAGATAAGTCTTTAAGATTCTGGCGGGCGAGTGTGGAGATGTACTCATCTTATGGCCTCCTAAGACAAGCCTTGTAAATAAGTTCCCTTGACCTGCCCCCTATAGGTCTGGAGTGGTCTGCCTCTTTCTTCCGTCTCTCCCTGCCCTCTGTGTACAGAAGTCGGATTAGGAACCAAGAGTTGGTGAGCCGGCCAGGAGACTGAAGAAGTGGGCCTTGAGAAAGAAGCATCCGTGGGGAAGATCCCAAGCCGGCCATTGACCTCTGTGTGTGTGGGGGACGGCCTGTATGTTAGATGCTTGTGGACCACAACATGAGTATGGGGATGCCCCCCAAAATGCTGGCTGCTTTAATGTGCTTTTTTGAGAAACCGCATTGTAACGAAGAAGGGAAACGCGTGGCTGCACAGGCGTCTGGCCTCCACTCTGGGCAGTTCAGCTGGCCACCAACGCCCAGCTGGAGGCTGAAGCTCGAGTTAGAAAGTGGGAAGAAGAGCTGAGTCGGAGCAGGATGTGCGGTGTCCACTACTCTGCCAGCTTCAGGGCTGGCAGACAAGGCGGGAGAGCAGAATAATACGTTACAGACCTCAGCGTGCTGTTTTGCAAAGCTAGGAGGCATGAGCTGCCACAGATTAAGGTCCAAGTGCTTGTGACAAAGGCTGATAAGGACGCTAAGAGGTGGAATCCTTGGGAACGTGAGGAGGGCAAAGTGGAAGATGTTGTGCTGATTGACGTGAAACAGGAGTGCCCTAGGCCATCTGACCCCGAATACAAAGTGAAATTTTAATTAGCAATTACCCTAGAAACATACCCCAAAACTCCTAGAAGAATATTTGCATTCTTTCTCTATCCCTTCAAGTTGTAAATATTATGTCTTTGAAATTAAACACCCCAGGAGATAACCAAAACTCTGCCCACAGAGACCAAAGGAAAAAAAGGGAGAAGAGGTTTTTCAAAATACAGACTCTATAGAAGCTCCATTGCCCAAAATCTAGTCCACAGCCTTCACTAGGGCAAATACAAATCTCCAAAGTCTTCTCCATAAATATCAGGAAAAAGCTTTAGCCATGAGGGTGGGTAAACTTAACTTGTTCCATCTGCCAGAGACACATTTGGGTCCAACTGTTTTATAAAATACTGAGTTTTGTATTGTTGTACCCGATTCATGGCTAGAGTTTTGGAATGAAAGGCGTGGGGTCTCTGACTGTGTCTATCTATGTGTTTATTATGTCTATGGGTATGTATTATGTATATATGA